TGGGCTCAATCCGATATCGATTGGTCGATGAAATCAGACAATTCAGGTTCGTACTTGAGTTAGAAGGGGAGTCTTCATCTTGTTGTTCTGTATTGTCTGTAGGTGTGAGACTCGGATCATAAATATCTTTGTATGGATTAGGTTGTTGTTCTGTATTGTCTGTAGGTGTGAGACTCGGATCAGAAATATCTTCGTATGGATCAGGTGGGTCAGGTAATTGATCGCTATGAATGGGTGATTGGTCGCTTTTCGGCAGAGAGTAATCTTGTGCTCCAGACTCGGGATGATCAATTATTTCTGTACATAGGAGAATTTCTTCGTTTTCCAAGTTGCTCCAATTCTGCTCTTCATTTCGTATCTCCTCCTGAAGCGTAGAATTGGATGATGGGTCATGGAAGAACAGCTCAGATTCCAAAAAGGTCACATCCAAAGTGACATAAGTACGTCGGGTAGGAGGGTGATAACAACGGTAGCCTTTCTGATGAGTGACATAACCCACAAAAACACAACGAAGTGCACATGGATCAAGTTTGCTACGTTGATTTTTGTGGAGATGAACGAAAGCCACACATCTAAAGATTCGGGGTGTGAGTACCAAAACAGAGGGCAGAGGTCTGTGTTGCGCAAGCACCTGTAAGGGAGTTTTAAAGGTCAATACACCAGAAGACATGCAGTTGATTAGGTGAACTGCAGTGACAATAGCATCATCCGAGTGATGGCGAGGAACATGAGCGCCAATCAGAAGTGCTCGGGCGGTTTCAAGAAGATGTCGATTCTTTCATTCAGCAACACCATTTTGTTGCGGTGTCTGAGGACAAGTTGTCTCATGGATAATTCCATGTTGTTGGAAGTACGTCTGAAAGTCATGATTGACAAATTCTCCACCATTGTCGGAGCGAAGAATCTGGATTTGAGCATTAAACTGAGTTTTCATCTGTTTGTGGAATGACTGAAAACGGGAAAACACTTCGTTTTCATTCTTCAGCAAATAAAGCCATGTCATCCGTGTACAATC